TTTTTTTTTTTTTTCAAAAAATTTTTTTTTTTTTTTTTTTTTTTTTTTTTTTTTTTTTTTTATTTTATAAAAAATTTTTTTTTTTACTTTTAGGGGCTTCGGGGGAAATATTAGGGGTCCAAACAGATCCCTGATATTGCCCTTTTTAAAATAGAAAAAGAGGTTGAGAACACAGAGTCCTCAATCTCTTTTTCTGCAGCCCATGTTATAAATGAACAGGAATCCTCTATACTGAGTGTTCCTGTTCATTCATAACTTATGGAGGTAGTATGTTTACCATGTACACTATCATGAATGAACAGGAAGTGATGTAGATCACTTCCCATTCATTCATAATTGGGGACACAGTAAACATACTATGTCCTTAATTATTTATAAACACTGATCACTAAATGTTTGTCCATCCTGGATCGGCTGTCACAAGAGGTCTGAGCGGTGTGGGACGAGAGCTCCTGTGACAGTACTGCAAGCTGTCTCCACCCCCTACATCGCCACTCTCATAATCTGTGACCGGAGGCTGAGTGGTGCGGGGAGGAGAGACGCCGGCTGCTTACAGCGCTCTCCTCCCGCACTGCTCGGCCTCCTGTGACAGTTTCTCTCCTCCCCGCTGGGACACAGAGCAGCGCCTAGTGGGGAGGAGAGAAAGAACGGATGCACCGCTATTTTGGCCAAAAAAATTCCACTTTCAGCATTTTGCCAAAAGTGCCATTTTCAGCCGATATGTTTCTGCGGCCGAAATTTCGGTTCATCCCTAGTCATTACTATAAAAACGGTCTCCTCAATAAGGCCCCTAGAAAAACGTTTGTTGTCTGAGCCACCCTGGTTAAGAATCACCGGGTCTCTGTGGATCCTTCTTTGTGACTACCCTGATATTTCGTCATTAATACTGACAATTCCCAGGAAGGAACGGTCTGCTGGTTCTTGATCTGATTCAGATCGGCCTAGCTATGACATACAGGAGGAAGAGTGATCGCATAGGGCCCAGTTTTCGGAATTGCTGCACATGTGGTCGGCAGTTCAATAGGAGGATTCTATGAGGTTTTTTCACAGAAAGTGTGTAGTTGTTTTGGTAATCTTATATGGTCAATTTAGAAGCAAGTATTGCGTAGCTCTGTTTATATTTTTGATTGGTTGCAGGGATTTGCCATTTTCTAGGTATCTTTTCTATGCTATGACATGATTTGGTTTTAAAGAAGAACTCCATTAAAATTAAATTATTAACCCTTGCCTGTGGGGCTACCCCTGCACTGCAAGGGTTAACTGCTTGTTTTTGTCTAGGGGAAAAAAAGTTATACTCACCTGAACCACGGAGGCGACTTGTTCTTAGACGGTCCTTCCAGCATCTCTTCCCCTCCTCTGCAGCAGTCTAAGGTCCCATAAATCATCAAATTCTATACACCGTATAGACGTGTGGACGCCGTAGGACGTTCCAAATGCTCCAGTGAAGGAGGAGAGAGGCTTGAGGGAACGTTGTGACAACTGTCCGGCTTGGAGCTTCGGGTGAGTTGGCTCCATTGCAAGGGTTAAAAAAAAGTTTTCCTGGAGTTCTTCTTTAAATGACTGAATATGTTTGCATTGTTTCTGTGACAATAAGAAAAATGAAGGCACAGTTCCTTGACAGTAAACCATGTTTTATATTGTACACGCAGGCAAATGGCAGCTGCCACTCACACACTCTGAGCGGTTCCGATGTGAATGATAGAGTTTCTTGAACGTAGAGTATGTTTTTCCTTTTAATGTGACTGCAGTCTTCACTCTCACCTTCCTGCACATGCTGCCCTGGAGCTCAGAACAGAGAGAAGAGTAAATATTGATTGATGCAAGGAAGGATTTCCTGGATTTTGCCCCTTAACTATAAACTGACTGGATATATTCCGTAGAACCGGTGGACAGGTTTACATCACTGTAATGAGTGATCTTAACACATGTGAGCAACGGACCTTTTTATCGTTTTTATCATCACCATTGAGGCCGATTCTGACTTGCATGCGTTCCTCAGATTGACTCCATTTCTATTTGTCTATCTGTGGGAAAATATAGTGGTCGTGGTTTACTTTTGTTTCTAATCATGTGAGGCTTGTTTTTAACACATATCATCAAGTGTCACCAGCTAACATTTCTCTGTGTCCCACTGAAGTCCCAGGCATCCCGTTGACCCTTTGTGATTTACAATTATCCAGGGATCATGTCTGGAACACTGTACTCTTCCTAGATCCCTTTTCCATTACCACAGTCGATTTTCTCTGTGCAGTGTTTTCTAATAATTAAAGCATCTGCTAATATTCCTATCCTGTCCTGTGAAAATGAGTATGTGCTGGAATTATGGTTTAAAGAATGTGTTTTCTGTACCATCTGTCCTTTACTGTATGAGACAGGAGGAGTCTTCCATTGCAGCATTTAAACATGGAAAGTCAGGTGACCAGACCCAGGGAGGGAGAGTAATAATTCTAATCACATGAAACCAAAACGAGGAGCTATTTTCCACCAGGTTCTTCCTGAAGTTTCATGGAATTCCTTCCACATTTCCCCGGTAGACATAACATACGAAGATTCATGCGAAAAGTATCTGTCCTTAGTTACATGCATGTACTCTCAATTCACTAAGCTAAAACACCAGAGTAAAGATCCTTCTTTTCCAAAATGTCAAAGTTATTTTCAACCAAGTCCAGTAAGATTAGATATTAGTAACTTGGCTAAAATAAAGATCCTTATCCTTGTGTAAAGCTTTGAGAATTGAGCATTATGTATTTGGTATTTACTTAAGGAAATTGAGAGAAAGATGATTGATATTATTATTATACAGGATTTATATAGCGCCAACAGTTTGCACAGCGCTTTACAATATAGGGCAGACATTACAATCACAATACAATTCAAGACAAGATGGTAAGGAGGATGATATAAAACTTGTAACAGTACCAACAAGTGATACAAAAATCACCAGACCCCTGAACCTAATGAGATATTTAAAGCGGTTCTGTAACTATCTCTTTCTGTGCAAAGTGGCTTCACCATGTTAATGGGGGCATCTGGCACACACAGTTACCTTCCAGATTCCAGCATTTTAATATGAAAATACCAACTACCACTTCACAGTTGGTATGCGGACCTGCCCTCTTCTGCCTCCTAACTCCTTAAGATTGGCCCCCTAATGTGTTGGGCAAGTCGCATTGCCCAATCTTGAGGTGAGGGGTCATGGCTCAGTGCCAGCTTCTGGTGGAGGTCTATATCTACATTTTGGAGCTCCCGGGGTGCTTTTGGAAAGTAACAAAGCATAAATGAATGCACCATTGGCACTTTACACAGGAAGAACCAAGTAGAAGCACTTTGGAAATGGCACAACGCAACAATAAATAGTTAAGTTTGTCCTAAAGTTACACTGCAGTAAAAAATTTATAACTGCAACTGAGCTGTACTGAAACAGCAAATCATGGTATAGCCGTTGTCCCAACACCTTATATTCTAAAGCTTGTTCCAGGTCAGTGGCTAAAGATGAAATGTCTTAAATCTTCAAAAATGGCAGCTCCCATTCTTGTCAGATTCCTTACTATGGTTCATAAACTGTACTTAAACTGTAAAGTTACATATGCTGCAGTCACACAGCTGATATTGTGGAGTCAGTTCAGGAGGGAATGAACTGTAGAAATGTAGCTGTCATCTGTAAATAGCAAGTCCTATGTGGTTTCAGGTAAACGGGCCTGAAGTGTGGCTAATATGCATTGCGGGCACTGATGTCATAAGAAGCTTTACTAAAAGTGAATGAAGGTTGACTGCTAAGGTTGGCACCCATGGTGCAAAGCACGCTGAACTTGCCTTTTACAAATGATGGGTAAGATCATGAACACTTTACGCTTGCCTGTGTTATTTAAGAAGATCTAACTTTGCCATTTAGACCAAAGCTAAGGTACCAAAGGAAGACAGAAAAATGTTAAACTGTTGGTTTATTATACATAGCTAAATGTTGTTAATACTTTTAAAGGGACCCACAATCTTCAGACCACAAACAGGTCCATGAACAAGGGTGTTTGGCTCAGTAAAATATTCTTATTTATGTCATTTGAGAGTAGAGGGACAGGAAATAAGTGGTGCAGGCAGATGCTCCAGCTAATCTCAGGCAATATCAATCTGGACAGGTCTACTGTTTTGCCTAGTTACCAAAGAGTGGCTGGCTGATGTGGTTGGGGACCTCCACTAGATATGAGATTGTTGCATGATCAGGCCAAAAGGAAATGAATTGAGTGGCTCTTCTGTTAATGAATAGCCTTTCTAAATGCACAGTAGGGTTTTTATCTCTGTAAAGATAGTATCTTATCACAGTAACATAAAAAATATTGTTTTTCTCTTCTAGGTGAGGTCATGCCATCTTGATGGTCTGTAACATGGGTCGTTTCACGGACTTTGGCACCCAGACTGATGCTGTGGTGGTGCTGTCTCTAGCACAAGCAGCCGTTTTGGGACTGGTATCGGAAAATGAGCTATTTGGTGCCACCATCAGTCCTAGTAGTTTTTTCCCAGCCTCAAAAAGTGAAGGCTCCAATAATGGACCAGTTGAAGATGAAAAACCAGAACCAGAGATGTACATAAACACAGAGGGAAAGGAGTCAGTTGACTCTCCGGAAGATGAGGGATTGGATCCCGAAAAGCACACAAGGCGAAAGAAGCGACTGCCTGTCAAAGTCATTCCAAAAATTAAATCGGAAAAACTTGAGGAGGAAAGAGATGAAGTAGAGATCTGCCAAGTAGTGGTGGAGGCCAAAAATGAAGAGCCAGATAGTGAGGAAACACTTCCGCAAGAAGCTCAGGAACAGGAATGTGATAACACTGTACCGAACAGTTCGTTAAAAATGATTGACCTCAGCACGTTTCGTAGGCGGCCCAAGAGGCGACTTTTCCGTGACAGGCAGCGTCATCAGGCAGATGCAGGATACAAAAACACGACGCAACACCCTTTTCAACATTCGTACCCTATTCCCCCAGTACCAGTTATCCCAGGGAATTCTAATTTGGACAGCATGCAAAGGCAATGTAGTTATGGTTCTAGCTTAATGCAGCCATGTGAAACCCGAGCTCCAGTAGTTGGATCTCCTAAGACAGAGGAAAGCGGACAAAACTATCCCTGGTCGGAGCCTAATGATTTTGAAACAGACACCGCTGATTCAGTTGAGCGTAACAAAAAGGCACAGCTGGACAGATTAGACATAAATGTCCAGATTGATGATTCCTATCTGGTTGAGGCTGGAGATCGCCAAAAACGATGGCAGTGCCGGATGTGTGAGAAATCCTATACCTCAAAATACAACCTAGTCACGCACATTCTGGGGCATAGTGGAATCAAACCCCACTCGTGCCCTCATTGCAACAAACTTTTCAAACAGCCAAGCCACTTACAAACCCACCTCCTCACCCACCAGGGGACAAGGCCACACAAGTGTGAAGTTTGCAACAAAGCATTCACACAGACCAGCCACCTGAAAAGACACATGTTGTTGCACACAGACATCAAACCGTACAGCTGCCGATTCTGTGGCCGAGGCTTCGCCTACCCAAGTGAGCTTAAAGCCCATGAAGTGAAACATGAAAATGGCAGGTGCCACGTCTGTGTGGAGTGTGGATTGGACTTTGCTACACTGACACAACTGAAGCGTCACATCTCCTCACACCAGGGACCCACAATGTACCAGTGTATGGAGTGCAACAAATCCTTCCACTACCGCAGCCAGCTACAAAACCATATGCTGAAGCATCAAAATGTCCGACCATTTGTCTGTAAAGAGTGTGGCATGGAATTCAGCCAGATCCACCATCTCAAACAGCATTCACTTACACACAAGGTGGGTAGTGGTTTGTAGTCTTTCTTCTATGTATGTGAGAGCTTCTGAGGGCCTCTTTTTTTATTTTTCATATTTACAGGGTTATTCACTAAGCTGCCGAATAAATAACCGAGCCATAGTGAAGTGAGCCAAACAACGTTCGGCTATTCGCTACGGCTCAGTGCGGCTGATTTCAGCCGTACATCGGTCAGCTAATCACTATGGCTGCACTTCGGTCAGCTGAACCTGCTCTGCATGTTCGGCTGAACTGAAGTGCAGAAGGTCTTCGACTCAGCCAATCCAACATCTGGATCGGCTGAGTCGAAGGTCCGGCAGCTCGGTCGCTGCTGTTCGCCCCAATTAACATAGGGGCCGAACGGCAGTTAGTGAATAGCCGAATGCCACCGAGCGACATTCGGCTCGGCTATTCTGCTCGGTACCTCCGTGGTACAGAGCAGAATAGGAAATCAATTTCAAAATAATAATAATAAAATAATGAAAAAAGATTTTAAAAATGTGAATAAATGTAAAATCTAAAAAAAATAAAAATACATTTTTTAAAAAGAAAAAAAATTAACAAAAGAAACAATTGGGGGGAGCTAGCAGTGACAGATAGCTCCGGCCAACTGTTTCCTATTGGCCGGCACCCGCAAGAGTCTTCTAGCATGTCCCGGCCAATGGATCTGGGCGGAGTCGGCCATGATGTCACGGCCGGCTGCGCCCAGTTCTCATTGTTTCATGACAGTTCAACATCCCCAAGTCATTTGGGGACGCTGATCTGTCATTACAACGGGGCGGACCCAGCCGTGACTTCATAGCGAGGCATTCAGCCAGTCGTTCACCCCGTTTTGGCTGTTACTTCGGCTCAGTCGAGTGGAAGCATATGCCTTTGGCTCGGCTGAGCCGCTTGGCCGCCTTCGGGAGCTATACGGTCTATAGTGAATAGCCCATACAGCAGCCCTTCGCTTCGACTGAACCGCAACCGAAACTAGCCGAAGGATCAGCCGAAGCTACAGCTGATCCTTCGGTTAGCTTTGTGAATAACCCCCTTAGTTTGGAAGAGAGAATGGGAGAATCTGATTGGTTGGTCTGTCCAAGACAGGTTTTTTTGTTTTTTTCTTTAGCTATTTTCCATCATAAGGTACAAGGTGGTATTGTTTCGCCATCTTTATTCTTTATAGTGTGTTTCAACTAAATCCTATTAATATAAAACCCTATATTAAAGTTATTATAGGTTGTATAGAATGAAGCCAGTACATGCACAGAAATCCTCCTGGCTAAAATATGAACAATGCGGAGCATGCTGAATATTGTGGAACAATAGCCAGAAACAAGCCACAGGTTGCTGAGCCTGCTCTGCAAGTACTGATTTATCCCAGATATAGATATATAGTATGCATAGCATTAAGCAGGAAGTCAGGATATAGGGAACACCCAGGGAAACAATCATACATTTGTCTGTATCTCCTATGATTCTCCAGCATACAGACAATGCATGCTTAACAATGACTGTTATCTTCCTGTATGACAGTGTAACATATAAGATTAGAGCACGATATGTCATGCTTATTAAAGAGTACAATGTGCCCTGTTAACTCATTAAAATGCTGTATCTGCTCTAGTGTTTATATGTTCTGAATTGGTTTGAATGTTTTCCCTGTGGCTGGATGGCAGTTTCCTTACAGAGCTATCTGGCTCCCTCTAGTGTAATATGGATCTGAAACTTTCCCTGTTGTTTTAGAATACATCAACTTTTGAATAGATAGATATTTTAGATAGATTAAAGAGATCAACCCGATACAATCTGTGTGCGGTATTGTGATAGTTTGTAAATATTTCTGTACATAGGACTAGCTATATTTACTCTTTGAATACACAGGTTCTGCTTCCTGCATTGCAGTGCAAGACATTTTCTGCCCTTTCTCACAATACAAGTCTATTTCAAGCTAGCCATGCACCAGTAGATTTTGGCCAAGCACTCTGAGAGGCATGGATAGATGAAACCTCCACTTTGGCTATTGTATTCTGACAGCAGGAGTCCACTGTTGGGAGAAAACATGATCCCACGGCTGGTTCGCCCACCCGGGGCGCTGATCTGTCATTTAAACAATAACAACTGGGCGGAGCCGGCCGTGACCTCTGCCAGTTGTTGTTCATTGGCCTATGACCTGCTAGAAGACTCGGGCAGGTGTCGTTCAACAGGAAACTGTTGGGCAGAGCTAGCTGGTCCCTGTAGCTCCACCCAATTGTTTTTCTTTTTCTTGAAAAAATAGTAAATTAAAAAATATTTATATTTTAATAATTTTTATAATAATTTTTGAACTTTTATTTTTTTTGCATTCTTTTCACTTCTTTTCTATTCTGCTCGATACCTCGGAGTTACCGAGCAGAATAGCCGAGCGGCATTCGGCTATTCACTCACTGCCGTTCGGCACCTATAGGGCTAATGAGCTGCCGGAGCTTCGGCTCAGCTGATCCAGATGTTGGATCGGCTGAGTCAAACTCCTTCTGCACTTGGGCTCAGCTGATCGACGGCAGCCGATGTACGGCTGAAATCAGCCATACAAGACTGAAGTGAATAGCGTTCGGCTCACTTCACTTCGGCTGGGTTAGTCACTCGGCTGCCTTCGCCTTTTGTGAATAACCCTCGAAGTTTGTCCATAAAGTCTTTGGAATTAGCTGGAGACAATTTTCAAAGTCGGCCTAAGTATTCTTGAAATGTTATTTATAGGTTCCTCCTAAACAATGGCCTGTAGCACTCTACAGCCTAATGTCAGTGTTCCAGAGCGTTCATTGCTCATAGCACACATGGCAGGAAAGGTAGAATTCTTTATTCTTTGTATCCACTTTACTTTGAAGCTGAGCTGCAGGTAAACAGCTTCATATACAGCTGGAATTCCTGTATGGGAGCTGTCTTGCTTGTCAAAGGATTTGTGTTTCTGTCCATGGAGTCTTGGAACTTTAGATGACCATACGCTCTACAGTCTGATTGTACAATCTCCTATAGAGCTATTGTCAAGTGTGTACTTCAAGGCCCTGACTGATTTGATATAAATTGAATAGATTGTTAGGTTGCCCTCATATTACACAGATCAGATTGTATAGTGTGTGACCAGCTTTGCACAGCCGTCCTGGTGTTCTTAACTAGCTAGGTTTCCTCCATGCTCCCTGCCTGTGACTTGACAGTGAAGGAGCAGCAAGAGACTGATAAAGTTACATCTCTGCTCCTGTGTGAATTGAATGAGAAATGAAAAAAATTAAAAAAAAGCTTGATTCCCTCATCCACGCTAAACAGCCGCCATCTGCTGAAACAAATTTCAGGTTGGGAAGCCTGTGTTGTATGGACTTGCATTATAGGTAATAATGAGTGTGGGTGAATAATAGAAGTGCTCATTATTACATGAAGACAATCTCCAACAAGTTAAATATCTAATACATTCTGGTCAAATAAAAAAAAAAAGGCATTGAAATGCAAACAAAAAGCAAACTTTACTTGAACGTTATGTTTTTTTTTTTTTTTTATCCAGCACATCTGTAGTGCCAAACTTTACCAAACCCCCTTTGTTGGTAATCCAGAGATCACATTCTTTCGACTCATTACTGTGTGTCATAGGGATGCACCGATACCGTTTTTTTCGGTATCGAGTAGGAGTACTGATATTTATATTTCGGTACCGATACCGGTACTTCCGCTAGCATGTAACCGGCTTTCCGGGCAATCAGGTAGCCGGCCATGCATGGTTTTTAATAAAGCCTTCTTTTGGTTAATGGACACCAAAGACCCCTTCTCGTAGCCAGCAGTCTTTAGGTTATTTATTAGAAAAGGTTTCTTCTGGGTATTCTGCTTGGGTACATTTTAGCACATGTGAAGTGTTTGCTGATATTACTATTGCTGATAGCTCACTGATTGGTTTCATGTGTTGCCTCAGAGTGGAAGGTAAACTTTTTCCAACTTGAATAAAAAAAAATGCTGTATATTTTGAAGCAGTCACAGATGGAGCTGGGGAAAAAATCATACAGAAGTTCCAGCCCCAAATAATGTTTAGGACTTTAGGAAACACAGGAGGAGGCCAAAACAATTCCTTCCTGATCCCGTGCTGGCGATGTGACAGCTCCCAAGATTCACATATGATTATCTCAGTTTGTAGAGGTCGCCAGACTTGTATGTTTCATTTTGTAAGGAAGACATTAAGTCCTTTCCTCACTCGGTGTACATCTTATGAAAAGTACTCCCATTACAACAACATGAACAGAGTATCCAATCAATAAATGATCAGTTTACCATAAAATTGGTTTGCAATTCAGTTTTTACTCATGGTATTTATTCTTTAATTAAAAAGTTGTGTTGGATTGGATGGAGACTACACTTCACATATCCTCTGTGGCAAAGTTTACAGGCCGTCATTGCATATAAAGTGGAACTTTGGCCAGTCTACTAAGTTCATCCTTGAAATACAGACCTATAAACTATTTTTACTGCCATAATATATGACATTCTGTTCGATTACAGTTATAGAGCGGTGCCTGTTTTTTGAGAACACCACTATTCATTATTGTACCTTTGCAACTTCCTCTGATGCTTGCTCAATTGACCACGAAGGAGCATCATCACACTGCTAGGTCTGCCATCTGTAGGCTACCGAAACATGCCAGGCTTACCCACACAGCAAAGGTCGAATGCTTGCTCGATTGGTCTAGGGGTTGAGTAATAAGCTGTAATGCCTACCTTATTCCTTGCTCCTGTGGCCTTTCTGCACGCTGTGGTACCGGTCCCCCATAGCCTCTTTCTAAGATGCATAGGCTGGTGGTTACACCAGAGAGGGTGAGGGAGCAAGGAACGCAGTATTATGGCATTTTCCAGGCAATTATAATGGTCTGCATATCCGGAAAGGTTCCATTCCATTGCTAACTGTTTTTGTATCTTTTTATTAGATAGTTTTGATTGCTGCTACATCTTCTTATTGCCACTTTATTATTTTTCTTTCTGAATGTCCCTTGTGTATATTCTTTACAGTTTAATTTGTGATAATAGTTGTCTGTTTTCTTTATTTGTTCCAGGGTGTAAAAGAGTTTAAGTGTGAGGTATGTGGGCGGGAATTCACTCTGCATGCCAACATGAAGCGCCACATGCTGATCCATGCCAGTGTTCGCCCATTCCAGTGTCACATCTGCTTTAAGACGTTTGTACAGAAGCAAACACTGAAGACCCATATGATAGTGCACTCCCCTGTCAAGCCATTCAAATGCAAGGTACAAGGCACACTATCTGCCCTTACTAGTGACCCTTTGTAAACGGGAGGGCCATTCTAAGCAATATAAATGTCAGCGGGTGGATGGTGAAAGCTCACAATGGCAAATGTTATTATCTATTGTATTATAGTTCTGTAGTACCCCCTACTTGTTTCAAGCTCATCAGAAGTCTCAAAATGTTCCCACATACCCCCATATGCTGGAGGCAGCCATTTTGTGGCATGTGCCAATATAAACTCCAGCTTATCCATCCATTAGAAGATGATGTCCTTGCCGTAGTAGTAAGTCCTGGCAAACTGACGAGCTCAGTAAGGATTTACACCAAAATCTGCTGGGTTGCAGCGTTACAATGTGTAAAATGGATGTGTTGTGAAATGCAATTCAATGATTGAAGATCTGTAGGCTACATTTGGTTGTAGGAATTCTGAAAACGCCTTGAAGCTTGGCTTTTCTTTTGTCACCTGAATTTGCACAGTATCGCTGTGATGCCATGTTTTCATACTTGTTACAGGATTGTAGAAACATCGACAATGCATAATCTAGCAGACTTAAATATAGTGCTCATCTATTTGTATTGCTTTGCTATATAGGTTTGCGGGAAATCTTTCAACCGAATGTACAACCTGCTAGGCCACATGCACCTCCATGCTGGATACAAGCCCTTTAAATGTCCCTATTGTTCCAGTAAGTTCAATCTGAAAGGAAACCTCAGTCGCCACATGAAAGTAAAACATGGAGTAATGGATATCACTTTAGAAAATCAAGGTAAGAAGACCATGCGCTCAGCCATGCCATTTATATTGTTGTGAAATGTCAAATTAAACAATTGTATTTACTAATTCCTGTTTTCTGGCTAACTAAGCCCCATGCCACTACACTACAAGAGCTTACCAGCAGGTTGTGGCTGCAGTGACATTGCCACTTTTCTTTCTCTCATGCAGCAATTATACATTGCTACTTCCTCACAAACTTGACCATTACATGGTCAGCCTTCGACCATTTACTGTTGGCCTGAGGAGCATAAGATTAAGTGAATTCTGGTTTTGGTCTACCCATGTAAGGCAAAGTAACAGGTTCTCTTTAATGCAGACCTCCACAGACTTATATATTTAACTGCCCATTCATTCACCAGGAGTGAAAAATGTGTAAGCTACAAGGAGCTGAAGATGTAGCTCACACAGGTCCATGGACTCTCATGTGAAAGCACTGACTGACCCAGTGCAATCAGATGTAGGCACTGTACAGGTATTTTGACAGCCGGCGCTGCAGAGGGAGATCCTTCAATCCGTGCTAAATAGCGTTTATCTTGTACATTTTTTTTGTTCATCCCAAAAGCCGAAGGAAAAAATCTACTAATTTATACCTACCCAGGTGATTGGACTCCTAGCTTCTAGGATGAGGATTAATCTATCCTTTCTGGGTTTGTGACCTGCTGGCAATTGCTGTATGTCAGTAGCATCCTCGTGAAAGAAGTACAGTAGAGCTACTCTGAGGTTGATTTGGTACAATTTAGAGGAAGTAGAAATGAAGGTCATTGGTAATGCATAAACCGGTTATGGGCAAAGCTTTCAATGTACAAGGGCTGTTGGTCCTACCAATTCCTTTTGCTAACTGAATTCATTTGATTCCAGACCATATTATGGAACTCCCAGACACTGAGACTAATGACATGGACAGCCAGCAAGAGATGGAAGATTATGAAGAGAATTCCTATGAATACAGCGAAGCAGATAATGTGACTGAAAATAACAACAGTTCAGCGACTGATCAGTCCATACCAGAAATGGTTTATTATAATGTCTTGTAGTTGCAGGACAATATCCCATATCTGAAGGAATTTCCAGCTTGAATTTCTGAAAAACTATTATTTTTTTTTGTATCCCGTAGAGGAAATGTTTTTTTTTGCGTTTCACTGTTTAATGAAGAACTTTGTGCTGTCAGCAGGGACCATGCCTTAGAATACTGATAACTTATACAGAACATACTGTCACATGGTCTCTCAAGGTCTGCTTTGCTTAAGGACAACATAGTAGACTTCTGTGACCTTGGCTAGTACCTGCCTAATTGCCTTGATTTAGCTGGACATTTCGGAGAATTTATTGTAGGTCTTTTGTAGGACCACACATCGACTGTATTTTGTGTTTCAGTAGTTTGATGCACTGGCATTATAAATGTTTGTGTTTGATGCATACTATTTGGGTTTCACTGTTCATATCTGAAATATTAATTCAGTAACCTGAAAGAGACTTGGAACAGCTGCAGGGAATAATCCATTATGTCTAGGAGCAGGATCTCATTGCAGTGAATAGTAGCAACGTGACTGATCCAAGAGTGTCCACAACGTTCCATCTTCTCGGAGGACACCGTGTACTCGAGGTGCTGAGGAGGATTGGTGTGAAATATATAGGACTAGATGCATACAACACATATTCTACCTCTCCTGCTCTTTGTCTCCCTGTCTTCACAAGAGCAGCTTCCTGTAGATTACACCAAAATGTCAGTGTGTTCTTCTTGCAAATACATTTTTTCCAGCTAGAAAAGCTAGAATTTCTTAGAGGTGTAAATGAATGTATTGTACAGTGTGTGCTAGGAGTGAGACACAGTATTTACAAAGATCCCAACTTCTAACCCAGGTTTTAAAAACCTAAACCCAAGAATAAAAATGTAATGTATTGCAGCTTCCCAGTCCTCAGATGCGATGGTTGCATTTGTTTTCATTCTTTGCAGTGCAGGAAATAACTGTTTTTGGCAGAAATTAAGCGTTTTTGTTACTTTCTATGAACTTAACTGCAAGCAATAACAATGATATATTTCTTGTGTAAGTTACTAATCCCATCACATCTCCCATGTAATGAAGATAAACAAAGGCAGACACATTTGAAGCTCAGCCATGGCTGCCCCCATAGATACAGTCAGCGTAGATACCCAGGGACTGGAAGTGTTATTCAAAATATCAAAAGTTTTTTTTAAAAGCCTGAGAAAAGAAAAGTAAAGCGGTTACCCCAAGCACTAGTAAGCTGCAATGTATTCTGGTTTTATCTTTGGGTTTAGATGTGCTTTAATGCACTTGTGAAAATAATAATATGTAAACCACTATTATTTAAAGGGTAGGTGCCCGTTTTGTTGCCTATTCTGCCTAAATCTAAGCGATTTTAGAATAGATTTTACTTGCCTAATAATAGATATTTAACATGCCACCTTTCCAGCGCCACACTGCCTTGTTTTAGTGTTCCCTGAACTCCAATAACTTGAAAAGAAATCTCCATCAACAGGCTGCAGACAGGATTTCCATTGAGGCCAGTGTGGTTTAGGTCATGCATTAGTTGGTTTGATGCGGCTCTGGGAAGAATTTATGAGGCTTGCTGGAGCTGTGGATCAGATATGTATAACCTATTCCAGAAAAACGCTTAGCACTTCTCCTTTAAGGCTCTCATACCTGTACATATTGTCCAAGGGCAGTCATTACAGACCTAATTTGCCAGTATAAGGGAAATGGAGGACTAATCTCAATCCTTCTGGCTATTTATTCTTGGCATTTATATTGATCAGGCAGGATTAAAAAAAACATGCTCACACAAAAACTGTACCCATGTGTGGATAGGGTTCTTGTTAAAAAGTATTTTTTCCTTATTTTGTGCCCAGAACAATTAAAAAGTTCAAGCAGGGTACAGACATGGCTATACTTGTAGTCAGATGTAAAAGATTGGGGCCATCTGGGTGAGGTTTCATATCATAAAAGTCTTGCCAAAGGAAAATGCAGAAAGTACTATTGTAGATAAGATTGTTATATATATCTTCCTCTCCCAGTCACAGGAACACTCTGATTTCTACTAACCATACATATAAATGCATCAAACTATGCGGGAAATGAGACTTCATATTTCCCCTTAGCAAACACTGTGCTGGTATTCCGGTTATTTAATCAGAGATGATAAAGACAGAGAGACTTACCTCATTTCTGATCAGGCATGAATGTTTAACAGAAAGTGTAAATGCCTTAGAAGGTTTGCAGAATTAGCAATCATGCTGAGGAATTCAGATCCAATAAGTGGCACAATATATTGAGCCGTGGTTGTAGAAAACCTACTACATGGGCAGAAAACTAAAGGCCCTATACACATGAAACAGTACTTGCCACTAAAAAAGCAAACCATATAGTAACCGTTATAGAAATCGGTATATTGGTACATTGGTATTTTCAAACCTTAAAGAAGAACTCCAGGAACTCTTTCTTAAACCCTCCCGTTTTTTTGCCTATATCTACTGCTACCAAGCAGTAGCAGAGCCCAGAGCATCTTGCTTTGTCTTTGCTCCCATGCAGTAGAAATAAGGCGCCCCACCTTCTAGCCGCCTTCCCACAATACCAATATCATGCCTGTCAGCAGACCCATGCACTGTTATGTGTTGGGAACGTACAGTATTCTAGAAAAAATGCAACTTTGACAAAGTCGCCATTTACACATCAAGGTTGGGAGCCTCTGGGCAGTGCTGAGGTGAGTTTCAGCAGCAACAGGTACGTGCAAACAGCCTATATGTTGTCAGCGACCTATCGCTGCTAATTTTCTATTTTTTATATCAAACTTAAATAACATTTTTCATGCTAAGGCATTTTAAACTTAGCAGAAGTTACTTTTATTGAAAACCACATGTAAAAATGATTGGAGGAGCCAGGGATATAAGGCAGCTATGGTGATATGCAAATCTTAAAGGATAAGTGCACTCATCCTTTAGGTTCCTTTATAGTGACATCACTGCATCCTCCCTGTGACGGGCTTAGTCTTGGTTGTTTGATTACATCCAGCGGGGGGACATCTTTTTCTCATGCTGTGCCTCCACACTACATCTCCATTGACTTCTATGGGGCTCATCTACTTCCATCTCCCGGCTGGGAGACAAGCCCTATACAAGTCAGTGGAATGTACTGCACAGCATGGTCAGGAGAAGAAGACATCCACTGCATGATGTAAACAGTCAACAGAGACCAGGCCTGTCCTAACTCTCTGTGCACGGGAAGGGAGTGGTAATGCCATCTGTGCACGATGAGGAGGGAGCGGTAATGTCACCTTAACAGGACCTAAAGAGTGCACATATCCCTTAACCTTTGCTGGAAAAGTGGTGTTTGGTTCCTGAGGTGGGAGGTAGTGCGGTCAACAACTTAACAGGGAAATACAGTTTTGGATAAATCTTCAACTGCTGACATCTGTAGAGCTATTTTGACTTGCGGTATCTGATTCAGTTATCATCCAGCTGAGGCCAGACACTGTGTTCTTCACGGGGATTACAGAACAGGAACTAAGCTGTGTGCAGGAAAATAGTTCCACCACAATACCAACATTTCCGTCATTAAAGTTGTCATTATATTATGAACAATTGACATGCATTTCTCTAAATGTTACCGATATTTGTTTTAATACAACCTAACGTGTTGTAGGTTATAGTTCCTGTACTTCGTCTCAGTGGCTACATGATCATATACCCGGGAATGTTGTTGAAGAATACTACTGAAATGCATAGGATAGGGAATTTCAGTGCACAGGGTCATTGATGTAACAAGCCAGCTCTAAAAAGCAGCGCAGTACTAATATAACAATGGCTGAAATGAGAAAATGGTGCAAGCAGTTTCTTAGACAAAGCAGCAAATTCTGCCAAAGATAAATGTTCCCTCAAGAACACAGACTACGTCTAGTATAAGTCCGTCCTTCAAGCTCCTGCCATTGTTAATTTCCTTCTTTTGTATCTAAGAATACAGATGTATTGACAACTCCAAGACAGCATTTGAGTAACCATACACTGAAGCTGTTGTGTTAGTGTCAATATGGTTTAATTGCTACTGAGTATATGTTGGGATGAATGTAGATATCTGAAGAAATATTTATTTTATAATGTCCGTCTAATATTTTGACTTGTCTTCTAAATATATTTTAACAATGATGAGTTTCTTTTATAGAAATATGTACTATAAGGAAAATAAAAGTGTAAGCAAGTCTGCAGTGGCACTAATGGTTCTTACAGTTCTTTCAATCTTATCACAATATATGGACCAAAGAAAGATCACCTTATTACCAAATAGATCAGAGCTTTGTGTTATGGTGGGGCCGATTCTAACTATGATTTCAAGCACCGCCAGCCTTCAGCTTTAATATAGCTCTTAACAATCTAAACCTATCATTTGGGCATTTTATGCCCCACCCCTGAGCTTTCTGTCAACCCCACCCAGTGTGTCCATATTTGGAAAACCCTTAGCTCCACCCCTTCCCATTCTGGAAAATCGGCACTGTTCCCTCAGGGGCAGTTGAACAAGCATGGCTTTAATATGTAAGAGTAGCTGGCATAAGAAACTTGGAATTTTAGTTAACCGACCAATGTCTTCTCCTCATGTTGGAACTTGAACTGATATGTGAAAATGTCCGCTATGTTTGTATAGATCAATGCTTTTAGTAACTGATGATTACAGAACATTTTGTAGTACTTCTCAATGTATTTTAATATTTTTACTGAAAATAAAGTTTGTACAGTCTTAACAGCAAGTTGCCATCACAGCCTATGAAGTAAGAAGTCAAACATTATTATTGTTAGTAAGGGAATGTTCCAATTTGTGCAGACTTTGCAGATTTTGCATACAAAACTCTCAATACAAATGTAAAAAATATGTTAGTGAACCTTCAAGGATTTTCTGTGTTTCTGCATATACAATGCCTAAAATGTGATCTTACCTATGTGGTCTTCTCTTATGTACACACAGCATTCTGCATTACCATATGTTTGCTGAACAAACTGGTTTAAACTGATCAAGTGTATCTAAACCCAATAATGTAATGTAATCTACTGCAGTTTACCAATCCTTAAAGTAGTATTAAACTCTCAAACTTGTTTTTTCAATAATTAATCCAGATCTAATAAATATACATTGCCAAGCAGAGTATTTCTTTACAATTTAGCCCAAATACTTAGCCATCATGTTTCCAAACAACTCCATCTCTCTCAGCCCCCACTTACCTGAATTTCCTGTTCAGTGCAAGATCACAAGGTAGAGCACAGTCTCCAGCAGATTCCATTTACTAGCTTGGATAAGGAAGGAGACATGGGGTGCAGGGAGTGTGACAGGTGTTTGCTACAATGGGCAGATTGTATTACATTTATGCAAAACCTTTATCACAAAACTGTTGCTGTAACTGCTTTAAAAGTGTCAGGCTCACCTAGCGTTGTGTAGCACTTTTTCTGCCCTAAAAAAATAGAAAAAATCCCTATTTATTTCTATGGCCACATCTGAGCGTTTTGTCCCTTGTAGCA